CATCTCCAATAATAATGGCGCTGTCTCGCGCAGTGTGAAATCACCCGCCCTCAAATCAACGGCCCGGGCGACCCCGTCGCTAGCATCTACAGATCTCCTCTTACGGAGCATCAAATCCCCTCGCCTGGCACAAGCTCATCGTCTTCATCTATAAGATGGTTAGTGGAGATGCCAGGTATCCGTGGCCAAAGCCCTTACGGCCGAGGAAGGAGCACGCCCGGACGCTGTAACAGGAAGGGCTGGGGCACGAGCAGAAACAACCACAGTTGATGAAGGCACCGGGGCACGAATAGAAGGGGCCGCAGTTGAGGATGGGGCGGAAGCCGAGGGCACATTAACTTTTCTTTTTTGGAACGAGGGGCAGAGCTCTCAATATCTTCGAAGATCCCCTGGCCGGAACAAGGAAAAACACAGAAAATGGGAAGATCAACAAGGTAAACAAAAAGAAAAGAACTACAACTCCGATAACAAAAGGCGCTTACCAGCCAAAGGGAGAGCAAGCCCAAACCTCATTAAGAAACACGACCACTCATCGATCCCTACGATAAGGGAGGAATCGACCAACCCATTCAGAGATGTTTTCGAACAAAGGAGGAGGCGAGATCTTAGCTGCACGAAAAAAGGACCAGAAATCAAAGCCTACAACCAAGCAAGGGAGAAAACTCAGACACATACAAATAGGGAACTAGGCACTTACGAGTACAATTCGAAACCTCAGAAAAATCGTCGACGTTGGTCACCACGTCCTCGGTTCTGATATAGAAGTAGTTTAACCAAAATTGGCGGTTAGCTTTGTCGTCCATCCTTACAATATTTAAGCCAAGATAATACTAAGGGAAGAGTTCCCAAGTCGACTTGCCGAAATGGACCAAGGAGCAGCAAATTCTGTGGTCGAGGGGTCAACAAGAGCCGGGGTCAACAAGAGCCGTGCTCAACAAGAGTCGTTATCAATAAGAGAGCCGTAGTTGAGGTGCCAACAAGGGACAAGGTCGAGGTCGAGTACCGTTGACAAAAATTATAATGGCTAGTTTTCGAGATAGCACATTAAAGAGAATATTCTAGTGGATATTCTCTGCACTTGTACTGTTAGGGTTTCTTAGGAACATGCCTCATATAAATAGAGAAAAGAGACAATGATATGGGCATGTGATATTCATTTTTGTAAAGAAAACACTTTGACTAAAAGATTCAGCTCTCACTTGCTAAGAAACAAACATCACTTTTTCACTGAGATTCTTGGCCATACTTTTCCATCAGATCCGGGAATAACTCGAATATTCAAGGATTTATCTATCTTTCATCATTGTTAGGAGGAACATCCACATATTCCATCCTTTATTGGGTGAATCATTCCTCCTATTTACTTAAATGTCATTTATTGTTGTTCATTGCTATTAAATGCTATATTATTGCTCCTGGTTTCTAGAATAGTTATTACATATTATTGCCTCCGTTCATCCAGATCTACCCGACATTCGTTGTTTCATTAAAAATTTCATCTAAGGATATTATTATTAACTAAGATTAACCTTTATTTATATAAATTTAATTATTTGAACCAAGATCTATATTTTTTGGCCAAACATTCTTAACATGGTATAATCGAAGTCAGACTCATCCTTATTATTATGTGTCTCACCTTATGAGCTAACTTTTGACATTGAGTTAGACCGATGCAAAGAAAGGAAAAAACACGATATAGAGGGATTTATAGCGAATATTTCTTGTTTCTATCATAGCTTTACATCACATAGTAACATAATCACATTTAATCCCTGATGTTGATTATGGTTAGGGGTGGCAATTTGAGCTCAAATCCATTTGACACGTCCAACCGGCCCAAGGTTGGACTGGTCATTGACTCGCCCATTTGTTGAACTCAACTCATCTTGACCCAACCCGTTCAGCCCATCTAAAGTTGGATTGATCTTTAGCCCAAATTGATCCATAAGTAACTTTGCTAAAATATTTGTTTGATATGACCATGACAAAAGAAAAAAGTGTTAATTGATAATTGAAAAAATTCATTAGAAACAATACACATAAATTAAAACTTGATAAAAGTTGGGCGTGTTGGGTGATGACCCAAATTTTAGCCGAACTTGACCCAGCCCATCTCAGCCCAAGTTACTTTTGGGCGGGTCATTGACCTGCCCATTTATTGACTCAACCAACTTTGATCCGCTCAAAATCAGCTCAATCCACCCATTTGACACCCCTATTTATGGTTACAATCGATCTCAAAAGCTTGATGTTGGTTATGGTTATGGTTATGGTTATGGTTATGGTTATGGTTCAAATTTTATATATATAT